TGCATCTCACGGGTTGCCTGACGTATTAGTATCAGACAATGGGGCACAATTTACTTCTGCAGAATTTGCTAAGTTTTTATCTGACAATTTGATTAAGCATATTACGTCCGCCCCATTCCATCCAGCCACGAATGGGCAGGCCGAACAGATGGTTCGGACAACTAAGGAGTCCCTTAAGCGAATGGACTCAGAAGACTGGGGGCAGAAACTAGCTTCGTTCCTGCTCAGGCAACATATCACCCCATGTACTGCTACAGGGAGGAGCCCTGCAGAGCTCCTTATGGGGCGTCGACTCACCACTCTCTTAGACAGGCTCCACCCGGACCTGACAGAGAGCAGACCCCCGAGGGCAGAGGCTCTAGAAATGCCGCGCACTTTTAAACCGGGCGACAAGGTGTTCGCGCGCAACTACGGGGAGGGACACTTATGGCTTCCCGACATAATTACAACCATTCTGGGTTCCCGGATGTATGTGGCGCAGCTAGCAGATGGCAGAAAGATGTGGCGCCACATAGACCAGTTCAGACAGAGGTGGGCTGACTCCAGACAAGAGTCCAGCACCGAACCTGACTCGATCCGACACCCAGAAGGCGAGCATCGAGGACCTCCTGACACGGAGGTGAGTGTTGGTATACCCCTCACAGACCCTGAGTTCGGGCAGACCCCAACTCAGGATTTCAGTCCCTCAGCCGAGAGTGATACAGATCCATTAGACAGTGAGTCTCCCACAGCCCCTGAAGCCATGCCACCTCCACAACCTGAAACCTTTAGAAGGTCCCAAAGATCCAGGCGTGCCCCCTCCTATCTCAAGGATTATGTCTGCATGGGTATTGTTCCATCTTAGTGGGGGAGGAATTGTTATGTATTCACTGTATTAAATGCAATGTTAAGCTTGAGGTTCAGCCAGGATTCTAAGCTGAAACAATCCTATTGGCTAATGGTAAAATGTAACCAATCAAAGCTTAAGAACTGTGCTGGAGGGAACAGACCTGATTGGACTTTATTGTAAGAATACTATTGGTCCTTAAACTATTCCTGGGCGTGGCTACATCAGCCCGGGATTGTTTAAAAGGGAGCTATGCTCCACTGTTGGTGTTGTGTGTTCTTCTGATGTTCTTGTTATTAAATAAAGCTGAATTCACTGTTCTTACAGCGTTGAGTCAATACTTGACACTCTCCTCTACACCCACTCCATTCTGTCCACATCCTTTTTGAAGTGAAGCCTCCAGAATGGCACACAATGTTCCAGGTGCAGCCTAACCAATACAGTGTACAGCGGGACTATGACTTTCAGTGGGACTGTACTTTCCTTTGTGTGTGTGTGCGCTCTATGTGGACTCTCTGTTCCCATGTGATCTGAAATCTCTCTAGCATAGTACTTATATTTATGATTACTTCCTGGAAAGAGAGGAAGGGGCTAAATAACATTGCATAACAAGGTGTAATCATAAGTGTGCAGTACTAAGTGCACTGATGTGAATACAAAATGGTGGAATAGCAGGAGTTGGAGATGGCTTTAACGTCAACTATGTGAACATGACAGATGCCCCTGTGTGTTCTTCTGTAGTGACTGATCATCTATACATACTGGGAGCGGGGAACCCTCACTGATGAAATATATTGCTTCTCTGCCCCGGAACACCAACTTCAGATCTATAATATTTTTGAAAACATATTTCTCCATCCTTTAAAAATCAATTGCCTAGTAACATAAAAATGAGAAAAAAGCCAGATTTGCACAGTGCAGATTGCCTAGCCATTGTGTGCATTATTACCCCCTTACCACAACCCTTTTCACAGCAGGGCTCTACACAGTGGACTGTCTCTTGCAATGTGAGACCATTTGGTATCTCTGCTGGGCACAGCAATTACTTCTAGTGGTTCCAGTCTCTGTGAGAATATGAGCAATGGCTACTCATTTGCGGGGGGGTTTGGTAGCCACTCTGGTGCTATACTCATGTCTCCCATACAGCATTAGAAGATCCAGGGGTCTTGTTGTAGAAAAAGAGCTGCCGGAGCTCATTAGCATAACTCATTAGCATAACTTATTTGCATATGCCACGCCCCCTGACATCACCGGAAGTGACAGAAAGCCACACCCCCTGACATCACCGGAAGTGTGTCAGAAGGCCCGGCTACTTACCCTCCTGCTTCATCCTCATTCCCAAACGGAATGAGGATCGAAGCAGAGGGCGGGGTAAAGAAGGGGGCGGGGCTTCACCACGTGACCGCCCCGCCCCCTAGAGGTTCTCTTCCGGAGCTCCGTACCTGAGAGCTCCCCCCCGACTAGAGCCCTGAGAAGATCCATATCCCTATTGCCGTTTTGGAGGGTCCATAAAGCCAATTTTTTAAGAAGAGCCTTTGACTCTGACCTTGAAAGACACTACTTTGGACACTATTCTATATTTGTTATTGCTGGTTTTTAAAATGATGGCTAGAAGGTGCTTTTATGTTCATTGGTCTAGTTATGGTTACCTGCCTTGGTTCCCAAGCTTTGCTGAGAGAAAGGTGGGTCTAGAGCAAGGGTAGCCAAACTTGCTCAGTGTAAGAGCCACGTAGAATAAATGTCAGATGTTTGAGAGCCACAAGACAGGAACAAATATTACACATACATTTTTATTAAAATATATATGCAAATTTGTTTTTTTTAATTAACATTAAATGTGACTGCCAAAAATAAAACCCAAAGGGGTCAAAACAGATATTAATAATGATATTTATTTGTCCAATGACATTTATATGTTTGCTAATTATATTTATTTATCTAAAAGGGAGAGAAAAAGAGACAGGTGGAAAGAAAGAGAGGAAAGAAAGAGTGAGAGAAACAAAGAAAGCAAATAGATGGGAGAGAGGGAGGGAGAAAAAGTATGCCTCCCCTTCACTTCCCCAGCTGTCCTGCCAGAAGCCACACGATATGTGTGAAAGAGCCACATGTGGCTCCCAAGCCACAGTTTGGCCACCCCTGGTGTGGAGTGATTTTAATAGATCAAATACATTGGCTGACCCCACAGATCAGTCCTGAAGCCAACTTCTTTCCCCTGAACAGATTTTAAAGTGCTTAAAGACAGCGACACCCTAAGTACCAGTATGTTCAGTGAATATGCTTTGACTGAGCTTGTGCAGAAGAGGATCTCAGCAGAGAAAGGATCAATTAAGATTTACAGACAGACCCCATGTGAGTGCCTGGGAAGGATGTAAAAGCCACATGGTGACTTTCTGTGTCATATATGTATCTTGAAAAAAGTGCTGCTTGTGATCACTGAACTTATTCAGGCTGCTGGTCTTATCTTGATATGGAAATTGTAGTTCACATAGATAGAACCCCTGGGCACTGCCTAGCCATAAGTTTGGTACCCTGCACATTCCTAAGGTGTTCAGGGGGGTGGTAGGGAGATGCCAGCAAGTGGAAGCAGTCCAAACTATGAGGGTTTGGAGGGGGGGGATAAGGAGGAGAGAAAGGCTGCTTGCTGCTTCTTCCTGAGTAGATGGAGGCAGTGTGATTGTGCTTTCTCACAACATTTCTTTACATTTATCTACGTGATGATGATGATATATCTTCCTCCTAGTAAGATCTGCACAATTGAACCTGTTTAGAATTTCACGAACTGCAGACGAAGAAAAGTTTGTGAAGTGGCACCTCAGATCTTTTAGCAAACACTGAAGCAAGTCAGAACTTTTGCTGTGTTCCATAGATGGTCAGGATCAATAAGTAAAATGCTCAGAGAACCCCAGGCAACGAGAGAGGCCTTTAAAACAAGTTTGGCTTTGTAGTGATAACTCGAAGCCATATGCACGAGAAGGCAAAATTAAAAGCTAAGCACTCAGCCTTAAATTTTAGAATTTCTTGCATGACTGCATGATTTCTCAACCGCTACATTGCAGTCACGCTAGCCTTTACTCCATTTAATATTACAATTGGCTAGACTATTGGCTTGGCCTACACTGGCCCAATAATGCTAGTAATCTTAGGCTGACATCTATCTGTGCCTGTGATAAACTGTATTACACATAACTAAGTCTGGAATTGTAAGTATGTATGCTTAGTCACTTTGATACCAGGGAGATTCAGAGCCAAGCTACATGGTACTTTAAGAATCCATGACTGAATCCCCTGATATGTAGTTTATCCTCTAAGAATAGTTGTGGAGAAGGGGAAAATTGGATTTGGAGCTGCAATGCGAGGGAGGGGACGTTTTAACTACTCCCAGAGGCATTCCCCTGATGAAAACTGTCTCCCTCCAATGGTGATTATCCCTGGAAGTGAACAAGTACCTGGGGAAGATGAAGTTTTAATAGGAGAACCTGGGCAGGGAAAAAGAGTTCAACCCCTTCCCCTGAATCATAATCCCCACCACTGCAACTACTTTTTAAGGTTAAACAGCATACTGGGTGATCCAGTTTGCAGATCCAGAATGCAATTAATAGTTTGTCCCTTGCTTCCAAGAAATATCCATTTGAGGTCAATAATATAGCTTGCTTTGGTCTATCCTCTCCCTGTGTATGACCATCCTGCCAGATTGATCAGGCACGTGATCATAGTGGAAACCAGTGGCAAGATAATTTCAAACTTGCATGCAGTCACCTCTACTTGGTAATAATCTCTCTACATCCTACAAGGTTTGTTTGACAGTCCAAAGTTCATTTAGAGATAAACTTCCTTAATGCTAAACTGAAGCTGTTTATCCCCAAATGCCCTTCAAATTGGCAAACAATCTGAATGTTCTTTATTCTGAGCTTGAGGATGATCTAACACAATATTTTATCACAGGCAAATAAACAGCCTGTTACTTGGTGCTTACAGAATTTATCATGGCCCTTGTCCAAACAATCAATTCTATGTGGATGTCATAGTGAAGAAACTGAAGATGCCAAAAGTAAACTGCTGTGTCCATCTTGTGACCCCGGATGACACACTCTACATTTCTCAGAAAGATGTCCCTAACATGTGCTGTAAAGATGATAAGTTGCCACATCAGTATCTCAAGTGCATTGTTTTTCAGGTATTTAAAGCAATGAATATTCGTCAAATTAGAAGTCCATCTTTGCCACCACCTGAAGAGATACCCAAAGCTTACCATGCCAAGATAGCTTTTATTGGAGCTGGGCCTGCAAGTATAAGTTGTGCTACCTTTTTGGCACGATTGGGCTACTTGGACATCACCATCTTTGAAAAGCAAAACTACGTTGGTGGTTTAAGGTAAATACTGTGTTCTTATTTTTGAAATAAAGTGTTTCAAAACATTGCATTTTCATCAATAGCCAGCCAACTAAGCTTAGGCAGATACATGGGTTCTTGCTTCTTTTAAGTTGTGGGTTGGATTTAGACTGTTGTGAATGGAGCTTCTCTGATGGAAGGGCTCTTGGTAGGGTTTCCAGGTGTCAGTTGGGAAGTACCTAGACATTTTAGGGGTGGAGCCTGGGGAGGGATGGGACCTCAACAGGCTGTGATGCCACAGAGTCCACCCCCCAAAGCAGCCATCTTCTCCTGGTCTCCTGGAGATCAACTGTAATAGTGGGAGATCTCCAGGTGCCCCAGTGCCCACAAAAAGGTGATCCTGGGAGTCAAGTGAAACATTGGGAATGGCATGGGATGTGTTCTGCAGGGACAAGGGGGAAGCTGCAGAAAATGCTACTACTCTTGACTGAATTCCTGTTCCATTTGTATATGAATGGAGGGTGATGGTTTCTTCTGATGTCCCCTTCTTGCTGCATCACCCCATTTGCTGCATTCAGTGCCATTTTCAAGGGTTCCCTTACCGCCCCAGGAACACGTTTTGGAGGCGCATGGGACTGCAGAAAGTCAGGGAAAGCAGCAAATCAAAGTCAATGGGCTTTGAAGGGTGCAACTTTGCTTAGGATGGCACTGCGATTAATGTATTCCAGAAATATGTATATGTACAAAACAGTGTCCAAATCAGATACCTGGTGGTAGTGGAGAGTGCTGTCAATTCACATCTGACTTATGGTGATCTCATAGGGTTTCAAGGCAAGAGATGTTCAGAGGTGGTTTGCCATTTCCTGCCTTCATGTTACAACCTTGGTATTCCATGGAGGTCTTCCTTGTTAGCTCCCTGCTTAGCTTCTGAGATCTGACAAGATTGGGCTAGACCAGGTCATCCAAGTCAGGATAATCAGATACCTACTAAAGGGTAATTTATGGAGTGAATGAAGTTTTTATTTTCTACGGTTTTCACCCATTAATTGCAGCAGTTAAGCCATGTATTCTAAACTTAAATTATTAGGAAGAGGGACACATAACTGAGTAGCAGCACAGCTTGCACACATTGTTACCTATTTTCAAGTTAGCATATTTAAAGCCGATCAAAAAGGGTTTTCACCCTACCATGTGTTTAATAAAATAAAATAAATGGAAGACAGAGGAACAGCAAGCTGTAGAAGGAAAGAAGTGTGGTAATACAAGAATCTCTGTAACCAAGGGGAGAGGGGGAGGGGAAGGAGTTCAGTGTTTTGTTTTCCATTATGAAATAAAGAAGAGCAGGGGGAGGAGGTATTTGTAGTCCTTTTCTCAGGCTGAGTGCCATTGACATCCCAAGTGCTTTCTAGCAATAGGGTTGAAAAAGACTAGATAGAAAATGCTGTTTATCCAGTTTCTCTTAAGGGGTAGAAGGTTTTTTTTGTAGATTTTCACTCATCTCAGTCTTTGGGTTGCCATTCCTTTTATACTGTATTGTCAGGCACTTTATATTCTAGAATTTTGGGGGTGTACTCCCCCCCTTTCTCCATGCACATACATTAATGTGTAATCCTATAACTTTTTTTATAACAAAGAGGCAATTTGTGTTTAGGGATGAGTTTATTCTACCATGTACCAGATTTGTATTTAACATTTATTTATTTACTTGCTTCATTTTTAGTCCACTGTTCTCACTGAGTCTCCAAGCAGATATCACAAATTTTAAAATGGTGCAATAAGAGCAATAATAGTATTTGTAAGCCGTGTGTGTTATTTTTGTTATAAGATCTTGTTAGATTTTTTTCTTTACTTTCACCATAGCTGCTAATGGGGATAGCTGGTGGGTAATCACTAGCTTAGTCAAGTCCTTCTGTGTTTAAAGACGTGCTTAGTGACTTCTGTTTACAGATTCCAATGTAATCTTAAATCTGCCCTGCATCCCCCCCCCCCCAACATTTATTATTCCAGGGTGTCCTCTCTTTTGTCAAACAGCTGGGAACTGTTTCGTGAGCTCTGTTTTATTTGTTCTCTCTAGTACATCTGAAATCCCTCAGTTCCGGCTGCCGTATGATGTAGTGCATTTTGAAACCGAGCTTATGAAAGACCTCGGAGTGAAGGTAATGAAAAATATAAACTGCCTTGGTATAGCTCAGGGGGGGGGGGAGCCAGAGCTCAGCCCAAGATTAACAGCAAAATGTCATGCACATTAGTAAAGAACAATTAAAAGCTACACCAGGCAGAGGCAGAAAGATGCTTCCTCTTGCTCAGGGCATTTGTCTGTCTGCTGTCTGAATGCCACTAGTTTGGAAAAGGGCAATCAATAGTTCTCATCTGGCTTGCCTGCATGTGATTAATTGTCTGTAAGAAACAAATACCTAAATTGCTTTAGGGGTTCTGTGTGGCTATTGGAAGGATTTGATTTCTTTAATCATGTTGTGTTGTTGCTGGCTTTTTAAAAATGCAACTTAGATAAAGCATTTGTCTGTGGTGCTTTTCCCTGCCTCGGATTTCTTATAACCTGTGCAATGAAGGATCATGTTAAAGCAGGCAAGCATTAATGAGCCCACCCCCTTTAATAAGCTACAACTATTGCTAAACTTGCTTGCAAAGCAACAGTTTTGGGTATTCTATGTTTGATTGCTTTCCCCCTCCCCATTTTATTACTTATAATACCTGTTGTTGCCCAGATGTGTTAAATCAAATTTTCGCAGAATTTATCCTAGGATAATCAAACTATTAGACATGATATGGTTTTAAATTGATTAAAGAAATATATATTTTCCCAGTTCCAATAAATTTCCTGTGTATTAGCAGAACCCCATATACCTAGGGCATGAGGAAGGAAGGATCCATTTCAAGTAAGATCAGTGCTACCCCCCAATAAGAATAATTAAAACTCAGATTAAGAATAGAATACTGTCTTGAGCACAGGAAGTTATTATTTATGTAATTCCTATTGTAAGAATAATTTGCATGTTTAAAAAGTTATAGGATTAGTCTTAAAAGATATTGAATCTTCCCCCCCCAGTATATATATACACACTGAAAAAAACAGTATATACATTCACACACACACACACACACACAAATATACACATATAATCCATAGCATCACATAAATTTGTAGAATGCTTTATACTTTATACCACTGGATATAAAATATCTATTTGAGGAGAACTGTGACTCCCTGCTTTATTATATCACTTCGTAATGATAAGTTACAACCAAGGTTCTAAAAGGAGGGGGGAAAGGGGGATGTGTTGTGTTTAAACAGCTCAGCAGCCCATGCTGAAGTGCTGGGAGCCTTGGCAGGCACCTTTAGCATCCACATGGACAAGGATTTTCCATTGCAGGCAGCTTTACATGTGGCACTATTCTCACAGCTAGGAAGTAAATAAAACAACTTCTCTTTTAGGAAGTCCGGGTAATGTTAAATTCCATTTTGCAAAAAGTGCTGTAAGATCACAGCAAGTTTATTTCATTTCCTCCTATGTGAGAAAACAAAGTAAAATACATACCCTCCAGTACTTCACAGGTAAAAATGGAGACATCTCTTGGATCAGCCAATATTTTAAATATCAGATTCTCTCCCCTCCCCCCAAACCACTGGTACGCATTGTTAAATGGTCCTACTCCTCCTTGTATGCCATCTTCATTATTCAAATAGCCTCCCCACTGATTTTAAAAGCAAAGAGAATGCTGGTTCTTTGGATTAAAGAGTCTCTATACCAGCGCAGTTGCCCTACAATAGTCCATTGATTGTTCAGTTTTTAACTTAGCAGCTGTCAGATGTGAAATGGTATTGTGTTGTAACTTAGTCTTTATGTGCATACATATACATGCATGTGATACAGAGATGTGTATATACAGGTGACATTCAGAGATAACTGCAGAACTGCAGAGGAGAAAGACTATTTAATCCAGCACAAAAAATTAACAGGATGTTTCCCCAAAGGGAAATATGGGGACAAAATAGGAATATTATTTACCAGGAACAGAGACTTGAACATAGGGACCACTGGTGAGTAGGTAGACATGAGACAAAACACCCTACATGTGAGACAAAATACCTTGCATCACAGATATGCATTTATTCTAGTTCCTAGATCCTACTTCACTATAGATACATCCTTCTTGTCCTTTGCCCAACAGCCCTTCAAGCCATAACTTCAAACAGTTACAGAGTGATACTGACTCAGGTAGAGTGAATTGTCTGAACATAAGAAATGGAGGCGTATTAGAGTATACCCTGGGAATAGAGAAAATGAGTGAGGCAGGGAGCTCAAACTGTAAGCTGTTATTAATGGAAAATGTCCAGTTATTGAGACTCTCGATTCCAAACATTTCCAGACTGTTTCCTCCAGCCATGAAAGCTAGAGACTTGAAATAAAGTTGAGGTAGGCCCCATCTCTAAAATGACAGGGGAGAAGAACAAGTTTCTGCTTGTGTTCTTTGATGTGTCTGGCCATATCCTTTACTTGGAGTCTTAGGAAGTGATGAAAGGATGAATACCCCCAATGGTTAATCTAAAATTGCTTGCAATTTGTGAGCATTCCTGTAAGTCTCTCAAAATTGTCAATGAGCTTTTGCAAATTTTCTGAATGGTTGCAAAATATGTTTAGGAATATGAACACACATAGAGATCAGACATGTGTGGAAGGAGAGGAAGGCCAGAAGAGAGGGAGAGACAGAAGGACTCTCTTACTGGCTGACTGTCTGCTAGCTGGCACAAAGTACAGAGGGGAATGAGAAGAAGGATGGAGGGGGTAAGGGCGTCATAATGATCTTTCTGAATTATTCCAGGTCGGTAATTGCCACTGGCAAATAGCCTGGATTTGAGCCAAACTGGGTTGGAAGGGGAGGAGTGTGATATCCTGTCCTGGGTCACGATGAGTTCATTAAGCTACTTCTTGTCCGATCAGCTAAGTGGCATTATATTTTCATAGAATGACCAGCATTAGCCCCATTCCCAAAATACCATGAGCTTAAAAGTGACTGGTAAAGTTATGATGAGCTTCGTTAATGTTACCTTTTCAGATAATTTGTGGCACAGGACTTTCAGCAGAGGGATTGACACTCAGAGCCTTGAAGGAAGATGATTACAAAGCGGTCTTTATTGGAATTGGTAGGAATTCATCATTCTTCTCTGTACTTGGTTTTACTGAAAGTATTGTATGTATGATTAATGCTGCAATAAACGGGCTGTGTTTCTGTCTCTCTGCAAGAGACCTTTGAATGCTTCCAGTGTGCAAGTGATATGGTTAGAGTATAAGGGGTTTTCGCCACCCTCCAACTAGTTTTAATGTGACCTTATCTGGAAATGACTGCTTTTCCCAATATATAATTATGCCTATTACCTACATGAAATATTTCGTTGAGGCTGTGGAACTATGAATGGTGTTGGCCACAGAAATAGCTGCTGTGTTACATTAGGAACAGAGTTAATAAAACCCAAATCAATATGTTCTAGCACAATTATCAAATTTCTAAGGAGCACTTTATTTAATAGATGGCACTAATTTAGTCAAGATCTCAATATGATCATTAAATCACTAAAATCTTTTGAGACCTTACTTAAGCTAAATTTATGTCAGCAGATTACTGGATCAACATATCATTATCTTTTTTTAATGGACAGTTTTGTTTTGTTTTTTACTTTAGCCCCTTCACAAATTTTTACTATAATGAGATGGATTGTTGGGATGTATATATTTATCTACAATGTTAATTTCAACTCCTATAGCCCAATGATTATCTTGTTGTGATCTGCTTGTATACATTTTAGTAGCATGTTGTTAAGCCCTGATTCCTATATATGTGTGCACTTAAAAAGCCTTAGGCATATAGTTAGCTTTCCTATGTTAGATCGTTTAACTCTTGACTGGAGGTACACCTCAGTAATGTTTTAGGCTTGTTAAGCGTATAGTACACAAGTGAATACTATTAGAGAATCTCTCCTTCCATTTTAAGCTTTCATCAAAGCAGAACTATTGTAATCTAGACATTAACTAAATCAACATACCATTATATTACCTATCATTGTTATGTAGATAATTAAAGGGGAGCAGTTATGTGAGTCTATAAAAGTATCTTACCCCAAAACATGCAGATCACAGCCAAGGAGCCCCTTCTGAGAAGAAGCTCTTGATCAATTCAGCTCCTCATATTTATAGGCTTTTAACATCATCTCCTAACAATAGCTAGCTGTCGCACTTGATAAGTGCACACATTCTTGGCTGTCTTCTAATTTCAAAGACCATATAAGGTTATTTATACTTTAAATGTCTTCTTAAAAAATATATAACACCGTTAGTTCATTCTTGATGCTTTTTATCTTAACAAAGTCTGTTCAAAAGCAGTGATTTACAAGTTTCACATACATATTTTAATCATATCTTCACTTCTGTGAAGTTGGATATTCTAAGATGTGTCTGCACCTGGACCTCAACAAATTATACCTATTGATAATGTGTTAGACAGCTTCAGATTTTCACAAGGCTATGTAATTGTGGTACTACTTTGTTTCTTTTCCTTCTCCAAGGTTACTCTATTCTGGGTCTCTAAGCCCCCTTCTTGACATGCTTTAGCTGGGAGCCTAGACTGGCTTTGTTTCTATCCATAGAGACATTTTCTGTGATTGGGGAGGGGGTGTCCAGCAACAGTTCCCTTGTATTTCTGGCCATATCTGTGACAATGGCTGCACAGGTGCTTCTTAAAGCTTTGATTCAGCAGTCTAGTTTAAAGACCTGATTCTGTCTACAAGTATCAAACCTGACTTGAGCGGAAGAGGCATAACAATGTTGTAAATAAATAATAGGAATTAGTTATGTTTCTCCAAAAGTACGTATGTTCTACATTGCATCGACCGCTTCTTTTATGCATTCACTTTCTATGAAGACAGGCTGAATGGGTATACCTGAACTTCCAAAAGTTCCTGCCTTACCTCACAAGCGCTCCTTTCAACTTATTTCCGAACCACTTCTGTTGCTCAGAGTTAAGTTCCCAGCGTGCATTCATACAATATTGCTATCACATTTGCAGCCAAGAGAAATTTAATAATTAGAGTGTCCCCATGAGAAGTCCCTGATGAGGTATACATTCAGGTGCCTCCCTTAAATTCTCACTGCCTATGTGGTTTTGAATCCACTTCTCCATGGTGCTTAATTAGTTACTTCCTGTTCATTTGTGGTGCCCTGGCATACCTGAATGTATTCCTGATCAGCTCCTTATTTATGGAGAGTAGAAGACTTTAATTACCACATTTCTCTTGGCTGCAAAGCATGCTCATTAATTTGCTTTTTATGATAGTAATGTCATAATTTCATGACTGAGAACATACTTTAAAAAAAGAGGTTAATACTCGATTATATTTGCAGCAGAGAAAAAGTAGTAATTAAAGCCCCATTCCTCCCTTGCCCCAATAATGGATTGATTGATTGATTGATTGATTGGGATACTTATGCATAGTGTCGCTGTTAAAAAATAAATACTAAGGCAGCTCAACAATATTAAAATACATACAAACAATAAATGGGTTGCAAATAATAGAGGATGCTCTTTGGCTCCAAATGGCAGAGCAATCCAAAGCAGAGGATTCAGTAGATTTAGGACTGTACTGGGAGTATGCAAGTGTTTGGCTGGATTTGTCCCACAATTTTTTAAAGGACACATTTAGCATTCTTCACCAAGCTGTGCCATCAAATGCCTTTCTGAGTAGATGCAGTTGTATTTCTATCAACACACTTTGGGTTGCAATCTTGTTATGCTGCAAACATTTTGCCAGGCACTGGAAATGATGCCTCTCCAAGTGAAATGAGTGCTTATCTGTGAAAGAATGTGAATGTGCAACCAAATCCCTCCCCAGCATACACTAGGCAGATTGAGAATGCACAGCCAAGAGTGGTATGAGACTTAATGCTCTTTATTGATCTAGACGTTGCCTAAGTGAACATAATAAGAAACAAGTTGCCCAACTGTTCTTTTTTTCCTATTATTGATTACAAGAGTGGTAATTCTTAGTACAGCAACAACTGTTGTTCTCCATCTGGGTATTCAGAATAATAAGCTTTGCAGGTTCATTCTCTCATGTGATTATACTACAGACCATTGTGATTTATATAATCCTAAATCCTCTCATTGTTTGAGGCCTTTCACGCATAGGAATTTCCATGGGGTCATATTTCTTGATAATTGTACATGAGGCAATGTGCCAGGTTACCATCCCTCTTGATTTAATCCATCTGACAAACCATGTACCCTTCATTCTTCTTCTCACCCTTGGCTCAGGGAAAAAAACCAAACCAGAAGTTAGCGAGGAATGCATAAAGAGCTTGGGATGGGGGGAGGTTGCTACAACTGAGAGCTACGCTAAATTGCTGGTGGTGTTTTCAAGCTTTTGAGATAACCCAGCTAGGTACATCCAGGACTTTGGAAGGTGTAAGTAGAAAGAAAAATGTCTTTATAAGGATAGCTATGCTAGATCAGAGCAACAGTCCATCTTGTCTAGCATTCTGTTTCACAGAGTGGCCAACCCTCAGGCACCCTAGAAGCAGGGCACAAAGACCAAAGCCCCTGTTGTAGCACCTACCACCACTGGACTTTGGAGGGCTACTGGCAACAGGCAACCAGAAATGGTGAGTGAAATCTTGTGTGAACGAGGAGTCTCATGAGGGTTCACAAACTGGCATGCATGGTGTTTTCAAAGAGGCTTGGAAGAAATATGAGGTAAGAGGAAAGATCTCCTTCAGCACCTCAGTGGTGGGAGCAGGTAAATAGTCTGGCAGCTGGCTGGGAGCAACAACATGCAGGAAAGGAGATTGCCACCATCCCTGCCACCTTATGTCACTGCCTCGGGTTGCCTCATTTATAGAGCCAGCCCCGCCAGTTGAGCAGTTGTTATGGTATGCGGCCTCCTAAAGATGTATGACTGCAGTCCTACACACAGGTGCTGAAATGCCATTTAAATTACAGGGATCAACAGGCAAAATCTATGGGCTGTTGCAGGCAAACTTGTTTAATGAGCTCTTGTAGGCAAGAGTGAGCTTCCTTACTGGTTTCATGTGTGGCTTGGTGCCGATTTTGAGTGTTTTCCTTTCTTCTGCTGCTAGATTGAGTTGATGTAGGCAGAACATTAAGTGAGTGGATTCCTTATTTAAAGATAAGGAAGAAGGCAAATTCAATTTACTTTCCACTTCAGTCAGCCACACAATGCCACTCTTATTAATCTTTTGCATCCTGTGGTTTTCTGGGTAAGATCTGGAAAAGGAATTTTTCCCCCTGAATTGAAATTAGCCAGTTCTTTGCAGTAAGTTTGGAATCTGGTTTTAGGATGTGTAAAAGCAGGTGTCGGATTTCCAGCTGTTGGTGAATGAAGGAAGGATCCTGCTGAGGCTCCGTAAGCCACCAAAAGTAAATCCACGTATAGGATTTATGCTAATGAAGTATACATTTTTGCTGTAGGTTCTACACTGTCCCCCTCCCTAGTCCCTTCTTCTAAAATGACCTCCCCACCAGGAGAGACAGGTGCATTCTGGGACTCTGGCGTTCATAAATATGGAACTAAAATGTACAGAATAAATCTGCAGCTGTGAGTAGAGAATAATCTGTTGTGGAGTTGGGGAGGGCTCTTTCTTTCTTTCTTTCTTTCTTTCTTTCTTTCTTTCTTTCTTTCTTTCTTTCTTTCTTTCTTTCCAGTGAGAAACCCAACAAATGGTGGGGAGTCGTATGGAAAAGTGGCTATAACAATGAAAGGAGCTAAGAGGGTAGAGCAGCTTCATCTTCCCTTGCCAATTGGTTTCCATATCTTTATATCTAATAGTGAAGTATGACCTCATCTGTGGAAATCTAAATCTGTGGATTGAGGTCACAGAGAAAGAAAGCAGATTTTCCTGCAAACTTGTGAGATTGCTCAAGTTTGCAGAAAAATTGGAAACCCTGGGCAAAATGTAAGGGGGGGGTGTTAAAAACAGAGTTAAACAGTTAAAACAGAGGAGTGTTTGTCTGGGTGTGTGCACATAGTGCACCTCTGCTGAAGTCACCTCCACCACCATCTTCCCCCCCCCATCTGAAGTGAAGGGGGGGAAGCAGTTCACCACGATAGTACATCAGAGGTTGAAAGCCAAGCAC